AGGACATTATGGCGCACATGCAAACTAACTTTTGCACAAAGTAGATATCTTTTGGACCCTCGTGAAATAATAATATATTTGAAATCATTCAACGGTCACAAGTCACTACTTACCAAAGCAACGCTTCTTATATGAAAGATGAATTAGGAATCTAGATCTATAAAAACTACATTTTCTACCAAATGTATCCGTCATTCATCATATCCTCAATAATTCATTAACGACTTTCGTCTATAAGTAAAATGTATTGATAAAGTTTAAATTTTGTTAAAATCTGACACCGGTGTTTGATACTCGTTTAAATTCGAAAACAATAAAAACTAAAAGAAAAGAAAAAAATCTCATTCTATTCATTTTATTTTGATTCTCTATCGGACAAGATAGTTTATTTGACTACGAGAATAACATTTTTTTATTTTTTATTTTTTTTGCTACACCCAACTTAGATGAATAAGAGTACATGGATCTTTACTCCACCTCAATTGAAAAATAAAATAAAGAGTAAACGCAGTGTAGGTGGCTTTAAATGATAGATTAAATGAAATGTAAAATTAAATAACCTATCGTTTAATATCACATTAAGGCAACGTCGACTGTGTTTTCATATCCCAGTGAAGATGGATGGGTTACTCTAAAATAAAATTGGAATAAGTGACTTTCTTAAGCTTGGCCAAAAATGCGCCATCCTTCTCCGCGTCCACCCATATTCCATAACAACAGTACCGCGTTTCGGTAGGATAAAGTAAAGTAATGGCATCTTTCAACGACCATTCATCCGAATTTTTACAATCTGTATTTTAATAATTGAAATTGTAATTCAGAGAATAATCTGAATTTTACGCAGAAATTAAAAGTAGTGGAAGTATTTGATCTATTATTTGATCGTTTTGTGGAAGTAATCATTGGATCATCATGAGTTTCCTGTTCGGCAAGAAAAAGACTCCCGCTGGTATGTTTCTATGGATCTGTATATTAATTTTTTATTTATTTACTTCATCTAATTTAAGTTGACGATTTATGGATTCTGTTGTTGTTATCTTTTTCCTTTTTTTTTTTGTAGTTTTGCGTATTTTTATTTGTGTGTGTGTTGATTTTCGTTCAATAATTTCGATCAGAATGAACTACAAGTCTGGTTTCTATTATCGAATATAGATAGGGGTTCGAGTAATCTGTTTATCAGTGGCCAAACAAGAGCTGAATTCTAGAAAGCTAATTTTTCTTTAAAATTTCTGATGATGCGGATTATCAAAGATAATTCTCTTTGTTAGGTCATGTAACTTTTATGTTGATGGTGATTGTGAATAACTGGGTTTAAATTGAAATTGTGTGTTATGCTCGTGAAGGCAAGTTTAAGGTGCCATTTGATTACTGTTAGGTTTACTAAGGTGTTATAATACAGAAGGTTCAGGAGTTACTCTTTGATTATGGATTGAATTCATTGTTTCTTTGAATAATCACTTTTGGGCATTTTTGTTGATATATTTATGGTCTTTACAAGGCAAAGGTTATCATGTATGAGAAGATTAAGATATTTGGTGAGAGTTCATATTTATGTGGATGATGAGGAATGACTTAATGCTGAAGTAGATTTTATTTGTTCGATTTTCTGTCTTGAAGAACAATGAAGTTGTTTGATCAATTTATGCTAGACAAAACTTCGAATCAAATTATTTTTTCTTGCTTTCTTTTATGATAAAATGAATGACAAGTAACTATGTTGTCGAGCAGCTATTGAATTTGCAAATAAAAGTGCCTATTAAACTTTACCTAGCTCAATAAGATGTACTATACTGTGGTAGCACATATTTTCTTTACACTGAAATACCACGACACATCATTGCATCTCAATGAGACTCTTATTCCTTGCGATTGGTTTGATGTCCCCACAAACTTCTTGTGGCATTTTACATGAACATTTTTATTGTCTCAACTCTCAAGTTGGTACACATTATAAAGAACATATAAATATTCTGTGTTTGTGAAACATCACAAGTATCAATGTAAGAAATGAACAAAAAATTTCATTAAACACGAAAGTTTTCTGCAGGATCTATTTTAGCTACAAGTTCAATAAAAACTAAGAATGGTGAACCTTCCATAGGATTGACTATTATCTTACCAGTTTTTCTAAAGCAAGATACCAAACAAATTTCTATCCCGTTTGTCCCACCCACTACCCTTATGTTTTTGCAAACCAATGTGGGGATGGCTTGTCCATACTTAGGTATGACTTAAAAACTTCTCTCTTGGAATTCATGCATTTTCTGGATATAAACAGTTGGTTGTTAGTTACGTGAGCCACTTCACTTTTACTTTTTGCTTCCATTCTAAGTGACTACTGTATTTTTGATATTATAAATGAGTTAGCATACTAATTATCATGGTTAGAATTGAGGTTAGGTGATATTATTTTGGAATGTATGTACCATGATTAATTTCATTAATATTCTGGGTAAGCCACTTTCTCATTTGAAATTCTACAAAATATTTCTCAGAGCTCCTGCGGGAGAATAAGAGGATGCTTGATAAATCCATCAGGGAAATCGAGAGGGAGAGACAGGGTTTACAAGCACAAGAAAAGAAACTGATTGTGGAGATTAAAAAAAGTGCAAAGCAAGGACAGATGGTGAGTTGTTTTCTCTAGATTATGTCCTTTTGGCTTCTTACATTGTATAACTATCTCTTCCCTCCCCTAAGTCCTATCTGTTTTTATTGTAATCATGCCCAAGTCGCTCCCACGAAGATATTTTAGTTTAGTTAAAATCATTCTATCTTTGACAAGATATTTTTTTGTTGCCATTTTATGATTCAAACCTTTTAACAAAGTCTTAATATTTGGAAGCAAATCTCTATGATAACTAAATCAGTGGTTTGTTTCAGGGAGCTGTCAAGGTGATGGCCAAAGATCTTATCAGAACACGACATCAGGTAGAAAAATTTTACAAGCTCAAATCGCAACTTCAAGGCGTGTCCCTCAGAATCCAGGTATGTGTTGATTTGATTCCCCTTCTCCTCTTAATTGGGAAGTCTGGCGGCCGCTTGAATTTGGATATTTTCTAGGTGCCTTAATGTTTTGTCTGGGTCATTTAGAGGTCCACACACAGGATCATCTCTTTCATGAATCCCTTGAGTCCTTTTGTATGTTGTGTTTTATGATTTTGTTCTTTGCTAATGACTGGCCTTGGGACAATTAACTACATATGGGTACACAAGTTAGAGTATCTGGATCAGTGTCAGTCATGGGGATAACATCCGGCAAACTATATCATAGTTTTTCATTTGACTAGTTTTGGACAACGCAATTGGCTTCCATGGTTTGATATGCTGGCCATGATTCTGATTTCTATCCTCGTTCAGCAAAAGGATTGATGATGAGAGAACAAATTTATTTTGCAGTGTTTTGTCTGACTAGTGAACAATTTTCATACCTATTTTTTGCGTTTTAAGTTGCACCTTTTTTTGTTATTTCATTAACTACAGTTGCACTTTTCAGACGTTGAAATCTACACAAGCAATGGGGGAGGCAATGAAAGGTGTCACAAAGGCTATGGGCCAAATGAACAGGCAGATGAATTTACCAAATTTACAGAAAATAATGCAAGAATTTGAGAGGCAGAATGAGAAGATGGAACTTACTAGTGAAGTCATGGGAGATGCCATTGACGATGCTTTGGAAGGAGACGAGGAAGAAGAAGAGACAGAAGAGTTAGTGAATCAAGTTCTTGATGAGATTGGAATTGACATTAATTCTGAAGTATATTTTCCACTCTTTTGATTATCCACTTATTGACTTAATATCATTGTGGTCTCTTCAACAAGCTGATGAATTCGTTTTCTTATCAATGCAGCTTGTTAATGCACCCTCCTCCACTGTAGCTGCCCCGGCTGCAAAGAATAAGGTTCCACAAGCTGAAGCAACAGGAAATGATGACGGTGGGATAGACAGTGACCTGCAGGCCAGGTTAGACAATTTGAGAAAGATGTAGTTACTTGTAAATAGAAATTTTCTAGTGTAAAAGCATTTTATGTGGCTTGTAACATTGTGAAGATGATCATATAACTCGTTTATTTGGTACAGCTTGATGCCTCAATAATGAGTACACTACTCTTTTCCCTTTTTTTAGTGTCTTAATCATGAACTAATTTACATATAAAATGGAGAATTTTATTTGTTTTGTCCTCAATAGTATGGTTTTTAACTCCAATAGGTGCTATCTATCTTTCAATTGCCTTGCTTGCCCTGTGCATGCCTGCCTGTTTGGTAGATGAGCCATATGAGCGTTTGCAGGTTTTTGTCTCTTGGGCTTTGAGCATGTTGCTGATAGTTTTAGATAAGTTTTTCTCTCTCTAACTGCTTAATCTTTTAGATGGGTAGTTCAGTGTGGTATCAGGTGCAAATGTACCGAATTATTTTTCTTTCCGCTACCAATTTATGAAAATTGTGCGTGAGGTCTTTCGAGGAAAATGAATCCGACTTAGATGTTATGAGACGCGTTGAGGATGTAATAAAACTAAACAATTTAGATAAGTTCAATAATGTGCATATCGGGACATGCTATATCAAAGCAGAGGTAGATATATGCAACTGGTCTCTAGTCAGTCGATGGTGATTGATATTTATGGAACTTTGGAATCATAATTCTGTTCTAGGGTTCGTGATATGTAATTTGACACCCTATACAAGCAGTACAGTAATTTGACACCCTCGATGCCAAATTATTATATGAAAGAATATCATTATCCTTATCTCCTCAAAGCATAGCAGGCCCACATACAGCTATCACATGACATTATGCACAACGCTACTATACTCTGCCGGCATGTAGCAATCCTTCATGAGAATTCTCCGACGGAGAGATGGTAATATTCCGATGAGATACTGGTAGCTCAACCGGGGAACGACAAAGTGGACAGTCAGAGTGAGAGTAGAGCCACATGTCTATACAAGGAGCATGAAAAGAATGCTTGCATCTCAGCAGCTTTCTTACTTCTTCACCTTCTTCAAACACTGATAAGCAAACTACACATTCATATTCATTACCTTGATCTTTATCTTGTGCTAGTCCATGTTTCTTGTACTTGAAGCTTGTCATCGAGTTTATCCTAGGGTCACCAAAACTTGGGGTTGAGGTAGTTCCGCGGCCACTAACTATTCTTTGTCTTCGCCTGCTGTGGGAGTTATCTGTGCACCATTTTATGATGATGAGGTTGTACAATACAAGAACAATAGCAGCTGTCCCGGCGATGAAAACGCCATAATACAACACGGTATAGTCGGATTTTGGTGCCGGTGAGTGTGGTGGTTGCATATAGGGGCTTGGAGGCTCTCCCATGGTTTGATATGCTGGGATTTCTTGATGAAAATGTCTCTGATGTAATTGAGGTTTGAAGTTTCATTTCATGGCAAAGAAGGTTTCTATCAGCTAATTATTTTATAGCAAATAAAATTTGTTCGCAAGTCTGAGGTAAGACAAAACTTTAATAAATATTAAAATTGAATTGAGATAAGACAACAGCCAATGTAATCAAATGATGGGTTTTGCAATCACAGAGTTGCAATCTCTTAAAGAGTGTTTAATTACCTGTGTTTGCATATTTCGTTGATTAGAGGACAATGTTATTTAATTATCATGATTAAAATCGTACGGTCTGAATTTAATCTAATTAATTATGTGACGACAGGCTAAATCTAATTATTGGATTCCATTTATGAACCCAATAAAGCTAAACATATATAAAACATCTATAGATGCCCAAACACATTGTGATCTTCACCTTAATTTCTCTCTCCTATTTTACACACGAAATTATTCTGAACAAACTCTGTTTGGAATGAATTTCTTAGACAAACCTGTCATTTTTCTAATTTTTTATTTTTTTAGCGTCATTATTTTGCCAAATTCTGCTCATACAAGAATCTAATCCCTGAGCCTGAATCTCTTGAACTCATTTTCAATTACATATTCTCCCAATAAAATAATTTTGCACTTAAACTCAAGACTTTCTATATGTTTAATCACACATTCTAAAAAATTAAAAAAAATCATTTTTTACAAGAATATTTTCTCAAAAAATGAGGCTCAAACAGAGGCTAAATAAAAGAACGTGTTGAAAATTATAGAATTTCTGAAGTTCGGTTCACTATATCTTGATAGGAAATTAACTCGATATGAACTTTGGGAACATTTCTTACACGTTTAACTGATTAGCTTAAATTTGAACAATTTTATTGTTTTAACTTCATTAAGATATACCCTATCCAGTAGCTGTAAAGCAGAATATGGGCTTACACATCCTCACACAGCCCAACTAACTCCATTAGACGCGATACGGGCCGTTTTAGTTGATTGGTAGCCCAAGACACGTTGACTGGTCCTCATATAAAACCACTGTCCAAAATTTTAGGCCATATTGGCGGCCCGACTTGCCGAAGAAAGGTCCTAGAACCTAGTTCACAACACTTCATAATCCAGATCAATAAATCCGAGGGCCACAAAGTGGCTCTTGATCTAATATTGGACTTCTAGTAATTGCAATGAGATAACCTTATCCACCACAACCAAAAGGAGAAGCTGCCACATAGGACACAGTATGATACTCTTAATTTTCCACCTCTCAATCCCAATACTTTCTCCACTTATCTCTCACTGCTATCAATATTCATAACACGAGCATTTCATTTAAAACTAGAGGAAGAAACTCACCTGAGTGAAAGAAACTGAAGAGAAAGGAATGGCCTCCACTACTGCAGTATCTATGGCGCTGCCATTGGCTCGGGCAACCCAAAAGCAGCATCCAAGTATGGGTTCTTTCCTCAAGCCATTACATGTGAGGCAATCAAAGGCAATTGCAGCATCAAAACCTGTTGGAAGATTTGAAGTTAAGGCTTCACTTAAGGATAAAGCAGTTACCGGATTGACAGCGGCCGCATTGACTGCTTCGATGATCATTCCTGATGGAGCTGAGGCTGCCGTATCTGGTGTTTCGCCCTCCCTCAAGAACTTCTTGCTGAGTATTGTAGCCGGAGGAGTCGTTCTTGGTGCAATTCTTGGGGCTATTATTGGTGTTTCCAACTTTGATCCTGTGAAGCGGGCCTAAAAAATGATGTCATCTATGTTTCTATCTTCCGTGTCATCGAATGTATTCATATCATATTCGTGCTTTAGTAAAATTTTCATTCCATCAACTCTTACTATGCCAACTAAATACAGATTTGCAAGCAAACATCAGCATTCATCTGATCGAGTGCACAAATACACGTTCTTCTTCATGTAATTTACCCGATTCCTTTCATATATTTAGAAAAAAAAGTAATACAATACCCTTTTGCAAGGGAAACACTGATAAAGATTCGCAATCAACTGCATCCCCACTGGAGTATAAGTTTCGATTTGGTGTCTCAGATGTGTACATTTCATAGCGATACAAATAGCATGATCAGCCTAGTAAATGAATAAAATCTCTTACAAATTTGACATTGTTTCTCAACCATGAGGGTCAATATTTCCTAAAGAATAAACACCACGAATCGGCTTATTTCCTTCCATTATTCAATGGGTACAAAATTTCGAAATCAAATCGAGCATATATCTACTCTCAACTGAATAGTTCACTTTCTCTGCCTTGATAACGGTACTCTTCACCCTTTGTTCATCACCATAAATCTCCTCTTTGATTTTAAGCTTGAAAAGAAACTCAGTAAAGAGACAATTCCTAATTATATTGGCAAATCTGTGATCATCTTGCTCTTCATATTTTAATACGTACAACTCCTTCGCTGAACAACCTAAGATTTCTTCCCCGGATTCCTGAAATGCAGTCACCCATGTTAAACCAGTATGATCCTGAATCTGAACTAGAAGAAGATATCTGTAACTACACTCTTCAAATTCTTGATTGCACCTTTCACAAAGCCATCTTGAGTTCCCCAATTTCGTCACTTTCTTATTGCACTGTCTATCACCGATCATTAATGGACAAGCTGTATAACAGAAAGTGTCTGTCTTGATGAAAGATATAGTTCCCTTCACTGTTACCCAGTCCGGCTTGTCAGACCTTCCAAGCCCTTCATCCTTGATTTGCACAACAGTTTTACGAATCTCATTTTTGGATCCTCCAGGCATAACATCCCTCGATATCGACTGGTAGGTAACATCTTTGCCGCCTTGGTCGAACCAATCTCTTAAGGCTACAGCTTCTGGAGAATCAGGATTTATGAATAGCTGAGTTGAAGATATTGTTCCAATGGACTTCCCATTGAAGTCACTTACTTTTCCGGCTTTAACAGCTAAAACAGGGAAAACCCCAGTTTCTACCATTTCATGCAGCTGCTGACCTTCCCTGTTGCAAAAATCTCCCCATAGAGTTAACTCAACACTTCGTCCAGATTGATCTTTCACATTCAGTATTCTCCTCTGAGTTTCCATTCCATTCTTTCTCGTGATAGAGACACAGGGGTTCACAGTCACTACAATACCAATTATATCAAGAATTGAATTATTTTCAGTATTTTCAATTTCACTAATAGGCCTAAATGAGAATTGCTGCTTTGGTATGGAAGCGTCTTCATCAGGACAAAGATCCACTATCGATGTTGCCTCTAAAAAAATTTCCCATTCATTCTTCAGATGGTTAAAGTTCTTCTGGGCAGGTTTCAAGCTACCTTTTGATATCATGTAGACTTTCCCGACTTCGATGATATCAAAAAAGCGGTCAACCACGGCATTGAAGCATGTAACCCGGATTTCTCCTCCATCTGAGTCGAGAAGGTCAAAGGAGAACACCTTCCCATCTCCCCTAGCATTGTTGTAGCGACGAAGATCCCCTTTTGCTGTTACTCTCGCCTTGATAGCCCACCGACCCTGATAAGGATTCAATGCAGCAATCGGGATGATGCGCGCTGGGGCCTCATTCTTCATTATTGCCCCATGGTTTTTGTAACTAGGAGGTGGTTGGTAAGGGGGTTGAACCATAGTGGGATAATTCTGCACATTATTGGCTGAATTTTGAAAGCTCGGATTGTTACCCTTACTGAAATTGGTGCGTAGGGAATTTTGAGCAACTAAATTTTTATTGTTGGTCAATTGTGTAGAGCCTGAACTCCTATCTGGCACCGATTTCTGAGGCATTGTATCAGATTCATTCAACATTTTTGGGTTCCCAATAATCTCACAGTCTGGTACAACAGTTTCCATGTTTAAAATAACGATAATCCTGCAAGCAGAATACAAGGTCATAAGTTCACCACGTGAAAAGAAATAAGATACAAGTAGTTCTTACTTTCTAATTTGATGGAAAATTTGGAATGTTTTTCAAAGTAAGCTATACTATAAAATTCCAAACATTAAGGTCATAAGATCACCACGTGAAAAGAAATAAGATACAAGGTAGTTCCTACTTTCTAATTTGATGGAAAATTTGGAATGTTTTTCAAAGTAAGCTATACTATAAAATTCCAAACATTTTTTGACTACTTTCAAATTTCAGGCATCAACTAGTGCCGTCAAACAAACCTAAATACTTAAAAAGAAGATGAGGAACAGAAGGACACATTTATCTAACTTAGCATTCAGTGTCGCCAACACCCAAATAATATACATAGTCAGGTAAACAAAATAAAGAATTCACCATCCAAGCAGCTGAACAATGATTAAAAAAAATGGTTGCACATAACTTACTAAACTCACAAAGTATGACTTCAAACACATTCTTCAAATCCATTTTTTTCTTTTTTGTTTATAGTTTTGCTTACTTGTTTGTTTATTCTTTTATTCCTTTTGCATATTTTTACTTCATAATAGGCAAATTTCGGCTATCATTCAGGAACTCAACCACGAGAAATGTCTAACAATATAATTTTAATCAGACATTATCTTCCAAGAAAATAGAGTTCTCAATCTCACATCTTTATCCAAATTCAGTGAATATGCACAGAAACCTTGTGCGCACACATACATAAAAACATCTGTACATTCAAGAAATGAATTGGCACTAAATTCTTCAAGAAAAACTATTTCAATTATTACTCAAACTACAAAAGTACAACTTCAAGTAGAAAATGAGAATACAATTTCTTCAGGATAAACATCACTGAATAGATCTTTTCCAGTCGATAAAAGTACTGGAGTGATTTTTTTAAGTACAGGCTATACAACAAATTTTGAATACATTTTTAGAGTATTGTAGTTCCATAATTCATTTGAGCTTTGATAAACAATGGAACATTATGACAACAAGTGCTGGAACACAGAAAGAGAATTAAAATAATTCCATCCAAAGAATATTGACGAAAAGATTTCTTCGAATCAGATAAAGAGTTTTGGCACGATTTTTGTTTCAAAAATTAAAGTAAAATTTCAGAGAAAAAGGCAAGTGCGTGCCAGTCAAAAATAGAGAGCAAAGATGAACAATAAACATAATACATTTTCTACAATATAATATATTCTTCTCAAATAGCAGTCACAAAAAAAATAATAACACTTGTTAAATTATGCATGTTGTATATTATACATTCAATAAGTCTATATATTTTTGGGAGATTTTTATTTCAATTATTTTAAGCAACCTCCATTCATCCATAGGCAGTGCAATGAATATAGAGATAAAGTCTGATCTTTAGGACAGAACTTTTATTTAAATGAAATCAGTGTGTATCCGTGTCTCACTGCTCTAAGCATTCCAAACTCATTGATAATAACAGGCGCACACATAACCACCCATCCACACATACACACGCACCCCCCTTGTCTAGAGCCCTGATAATGGAAAGAAATTTAAAAATCACATATGAAAATGGTTTCACTTGTCGCTGCCAGCTGTGCCATACATTGATAAACCACGAAGGTCAAGCAGAGGACCAAAGAAGAATCCCAAGTCCTGAACCTGTTGAAGCCTAGAACACTAGAGATTTATTTTCATTTTGTTTAGCATTCAGTTTTACATCTCTGTTTTGCACACTTATTCTGTTTTGCATTACTGCTCTGTTAGCTATTTCTTAGGAAGTACTAAGCCTGTTAGATATTTCTTAGGAAGTACTAAGCCACTTAATTCTGCATGTAAATTGAACGTGGTTGTTAGGCTTTGCCTATATAAACCACACTTTCAATTTCAATAAAGGAAGGCAATCAATTCAGTAAATTGTGGTCTTGTTCTCACCCTAAGAGAATTCTAAATTCAGTGTTGATATCAGCTTCTGACTGGGACCTAGCATACATAGACTCCTTTATCATTCTCAGTAAACTTTTCTACTCTATCATATGCATTCCAAAAAAGTACAGCTCCACATTTCATCATTTTCACATGCAAGCCTACCAAAAAATGTAAAGCCATCACACTAAAGAAAACACAATTTCACATGATAAAACATATACAAAGATAGAAAGCTACTCTAAAAATGCATATACGAACCATAAGAAATGCACACTGGACACTGCAGAAAACACAATGAAACATGATAATTTTCATTGAAAAATAAAATATATATTTCTTTTGCACGTAAAATATGTAAATCATCAACATGGACACTACTCAAAACTTGGAGTTCACACGATAATTTATTTACAGAAAAATAAAAATATACGAATTCTTTTTTTGCATACTCATAGATGAACGGCAAGAAAATTAATTTAGCAGGTGTAAGAGCACAGTACTTGCGATTCTGGACATTGCTGCAAATGTATTCAATGAGCTGAACAACGGATCCTTGACGGACACGGCCAGACTTGACTCGGTCATTGAGCTGAGTTGCGAGCATCGCGTGTTGCGTCAACACCGAGTCCGAGATGAGCAGTCGGTAGCGTTCCTGAGTGGAACCTATGAGCTTGATGTCCACCACCTGCACCAGCGGCTTCGTGTTCACGTCGCCTCCATTAATCGCCGATATCGCGTTAGCAGTTAAATATACCGGCATTCTGTTAGAGTCCGTTAATTCGATTATTATGCGAGGGAGGTAAAATGGAAACCCTGAGAGAGTGGAAAGTTGGAAGGGAAATGAAATTGGAAGTGAAATTGAGAGGAATTTGAGGGAGGATTTGAAGAGGAATTTTTTGATGTAATTTATGAGAGGATGAGGGTAATTTGGGAAAGCAAGAAATGTTGCAGGTGGAACCGCCATCGCGAAAGAGTCAATTTACATGATACTCCTCAAAGTATCCAGACTTTTTTTCTATGATTTTATTTTATTTAGAAAAAATTGCAGTTACGGTATCAAATCTTTCAGTTTTAAACAGACTTTGCCTAAACCTTCATTTTGTTGCAACTACAATACCAAACCTTTCAAAAACTTGTATTGAAGTCCAAATGAATGATTTCTGTTAGTTTGACTGTTAGTTGATCCAATAAATTGACATTAAGCAATTTTAAAAGGGGAAAAATGATAACTTTGAATTAAAATTAGAAAAAACAAAACAAAACAAATGGAAATAAAATGGTCTTCATCTTTACCTTCCCCACCTCGCGCTTGCCCCCTGAAAATCAATCGTTGGCACTGCCGCTCAACACCGACCATCCAGGATTTATGATTTTCTTAAATTCCTCACGTCAATGGGTAAATCCACAAGATATCAATGCACGTCAACCAAAAAATTGCTCGGGAAAATGAAAATCAAACTCTAAATACAAAATGAAAAAAATGGGTTTCCAAATTGAACGAATGCATAATATGATAGAATCCCAATTGAACGAAACCCTAGTTAGGTTTGAAGAGTCGTCTTCTCTTCAATTTCTATATGTCCTCTTTAACTTCTTTATGGAAGACCCTTTTATTTATTTTTTATTTTTTTTGTTTTTATAATTTTAATTAAAAGTTACCATTTTACCCATTTTAAAATTGATCAAAGTCAATTTATTGGATCAATCAATGATCAAACTAATAGAAATTATCAATTCAGACTCAAGGTTCAAGTTTTTGAAAGGTTTGGAACTGTACGTGCAACAAAATAAAAGTTTAGGCAAAGTCTGTTTAAAACTAAAAGGTTTGGTACCGTGTCTGCAATTTTTCCTTTTATTTATTTAACAAGAAAATAATCATACTAAGCCCTTATTCGATAGGGATTAAAATCAAATTTTTAGTATATTTTAATAAAAAGTTGATGAGATATATGATTGAAAAGTTGTGAATTCCATGAAATATATGGTTGAAATTAATTGTTAATTTTAACTTAAATTAAAATCTCGATTTTAATCACTACCAAATAGGCTTAGATATATTTTACGTGGGAAGGGTGTAGTCAATCTAGAAAAACTCATGAGTAGTGTAGATAAGTTCATCGTTGCATCCCAATTGGTAACTCACTAGATCTACCTTCTATAGCCAAAATTAGGATCACAATAGACTCGACACGAGCAATCAAAACATGCATTGTTTTCGTTCAATAGAATTCTTTTACAAATATTTTTTATTTTCTTAAATCTTTACAAGTGTGCCTTATAAGTGATCTAGTAAGGATATCTACTCTACTAATTTGATACCTTGTTTATTATCATCCATTAAGAAAGGAGGGTGAATTAAATTTAGACTTATAAAAACTTTTAGAAATTTAAAAATTCGAGTTTATTGAATGTAGACTTTTAAGACCCCATAAAAGTTTAGGATTATTTACTATACTTTTTAAAAGTACGTAAAACTCATGGGTGGGTCAAAATCTCAAAAATTATCTTTCATTCACAACCTAAGATTTCGAGACTTCCAAAAATGAAAAAAAACAGTCTACCTTTAAAGTTAAATCTCGTACAAGTATTTCTATAAATAGATTACGTGGTTTTACCTTAAATATCAAAACAGTCCTTAAAAGTTACGAAAATGATCAGATTAGTCCACCGTGGGCAGTAAACTATGAAGCAAATTCTTCATCTTCCGTTATTGATACTAGAGCTTGGGCTTGAACTTAAACAAGTACACGACAAAATATATAGTTCTAGTAACTAATAACACACAAAAAACAACACATGTAATTCACTAATAGTTTTAAATTTTAATTAAAATCCATTCTAAAAGCCGAGAGCATGTTTCTACAGTTCTCATCCTCAGAAAGAACAGATAAAATAAATGCAGAAATGTAAAATAAACGTTGATCTAAAAGAAAAAAAAGAACGTTCCAAATAAATGATGATCTACATTCCTCCTGCTGCCACTTCAATTTCAGTTGCCACGGGCGCTGTAGCCGGCCTAATGTATTCTTCCTCCTTTGGAGTGTGAATTGTGACTTGATCTGGAAGAGGTGTCATTGGACCCTGCTTTCCCTTGGGGTCCCAATCAAGCATTATCTTCACTTTAATTCCAAGTACTCCCTGAATAAACCACCACATTTAGAAGTCGCCAAACCCGAGAAATAAGAAGGATAAAAAACACGCGTGGGATAGAATTCGGTAAAATGCTGCTTCTTTGAAAACAGAAAAGCAAGATGGAGAAACAAACCTGTCTTAGGAGAACGTGTCTGACGGCAGAGTCGATGTATTCTTTTACGGGCTGACCAGAAGAAATCATATAGCCATCTTTGAACTTCATGGATTTGGCACGCTGAGCCCTCAGTTTTCCACTAACAATGACCTATTTTAAATAGAGATTAAGCAATTATATTAGTTTTCAGACTCAACCCAATGAATCAAAATCAAGTGTCATTGAGAGCATACCTCACAACCCTTAGCTCCATTCTCGATAATATATCTCAAAACACCATAGCAGGCCCTGAGGAAAGCCAAAATCATATGAGATGCTGAAGTTAAACGACGTGGCCAAGTAAAAACAGTGCTATCAATCTTCATGAACGAGGCAAATCTTAGTATTCATTTTCTTCATTTCAAAAAAAATCATCAAAAAACAAAGATGCAGAAGTTCCAGACAGACGTACAAAGATTTAAATGGTGAAAACTTGGTTTAGAGAAAATGTACAAGTTGCAATTGTATGTAGCATTCCTAGTAAGTTCAGTCAGAGATGAGCCAAAGGTATAAGCAGGGTATGATAGCTAAAACAAATATTAAAAATTATAAAACACAGACTGAGCAAGGATAGCGTCCATGTCGGATTTACTTCACAAATAGAAAGGGTGAAAAGGACTTCAATGCATTTAGTGATTTAATTCCAAAAATTTAGCAACCCCAAGAACTAAAGTGTAAAATAGTACACAAATCAATAGCAAAGTCTCTTGGAGAAGCAGGATTGATATAGTCATCTTCCGACACAAACAAGGCACTGAAATGTCCTATTTGCTTTATAGATGACAGGTTAATCGACTAAAATAATATATTCACATGCACAAAATTATCAAAGAATGTCTCTTTGTCATTTTAAGTGTCCTCAAGGAAATGATACAATTGCACATTTTAACTTTAGAGAACTAGAAGAGTTCGAGTAAAACATTTACGTATATCTTTAGCATATGTCCTCCCCATGGTTACTACATGAACATAAACACATTTCACAAGGATGTGATAACATGAGGAAGACTTTATTCTAGTCAACATCCGACACAAAATTGGCATAAAAGCACCAATTTGCTTTGTTGATGACATGCCAATAATTATAATGGTGTCTCATAACCAGCTAAACCTCTAAAAACGAATTAATTTACCAGTCAAAGCAGAAACTTAATTAGCAAAACAAATTAAATGCTATAGCCAACTTCAAATTGCTGATGTCCTCCCCATGGTTACTGCATGAACATAAACACATTTCACGAGGATGTAATAACATAAGGAAGACTTTATTCTAGTCAACATCCGACACAAAATTGGTATAAAAGCACCAATTTGCTTTGTTGATGACATGCCAATAATTATAATAGTGTCTCATAACCAGCTAAACCTCTAAAAACGAAATAATTTACCAGTCAAAGCAGAAACTTAATTAGCAAAACAAATTAAATGCTATATCCAACTTCAAATTGCTGTATCCACATCAAATGGTGTTAATGAACAGTTCTACACCATTGTTTCACACATCAAAACTTACACGTGAATGGGACATGTAAATGATGAAGTAACGAAAAGATCATTATTATCACGAGAATTTCATCAATAATGTCTGTTAGTTATGTTACATATAAGTCCCCGATTACATTCACGACTAAGAAATAATTGAACAAGGAGTTGATTGGTTACCTCCTGACAGCTAGGCCTCCGAGGAGCTTGTATCGAAGGGACTCAGCCTGAGCAATGGCACATAGCCCTCTGTTGTTAACCTTCTCTGCATACAACTCCACACTGTTCTCTGGAAATTTGAACCTCTTCTGAACCACAGATGTCAACTCCCGAATCCTCCTCCCTTTCTCACCTGTTGTAAGCCATAAGAACAATGGCGAATTGAAATAAGCTAAAGCAAAACATCAAATGTTAGCAAAAACAACAAAAAGTAGAAATGTGATATCACCGAGAACATTCTGAGTGCGAGTGGCGCGGATGATGATCTCAGTCCTCATAGGAGTAACCCTAACTTCCACACCAGAGTATCCATCCTCCGCCAGCTCACGTGTCAAAACCTCGTTCAGCTCAGCAAAGAACACTCCATCAGCGACAAACTGCAATGTCAAATTCAAAATACCAAACAATTACAACCATAAACAATCCTCTTACATAAATGTCGTACACATAGATTGGATCGGCGGGGGCACCTTTCGCTTCTTGCTCATCTGAGTCGCCATTTTGGGTTTACACACACACACAGAGGAAAGATGGAGATTTGAGGAGTTTTAAATGAAGTGCGTACTCTGCGAAGCGTAAACCCTAGATGGTTTTGCTAGCGAACTTTATACGTGATTAGGGATTTGCAGTTGAAGCTAGGGTTTGGCGATTGGGCTTTTTAGTGTTGAAATGGGCCTAGTTTTAAAATGGTCCAATAGAATCGTGACCAGGCCTTAATCTGGGTCAGATGATATGCTCCCTAAAATAAAGGGAACAATACATTTCTAAAGTATTTACTTTACATCATTTCAAAAATACAAAAACAATTTACAAATTTCACAAATCAGGTTTTTTAATTTTTAATTTATGAAATAATGAATTATTAAATCAATTTATTATTAAATATTTAATTCTAATATAATATAATTACATCACCCCACCTCCACCACTCCTGCCGCTCTAGGGAACTATTCCGACTACCGTTCCGATCACAACAGATCTCCGGCAACTATTTCGACGACTGCTCCGATTCCGACAAGTGTTCCAACTCCGGCGAAAATTTTTATGTCACAATTCAAAATTTTCATAAGTCACAATTTGTTTATCCGTCACAACGTAAAATTTAAAAGTCACAATTTGTTCGTCGGTCACAAATCACAAAATTTATAAGTCACAATACTTATTTACGATCACAGATATCACATTAATTGACACATAAATTATATTTAGGTCACAATTATCAAATTATTGATCACAAATTAATATTTTTTAGGTGACAAATCATGTGTTGGTCACATTTTATCACATTGATTGACACATAAATATGAGCAGCGGAGAAACACTAGATCCACGTCGTCGCCACTACAGTCATCGAGAAGCGCGCACGACGACTGGAGCATGGTGGAGAGAGATAGATCCAGATCTGTTGAGAAGAGGAATAAGGAGACGGAGAGAGAGAAATTCAGATTCGGCCTCACGAGAGGGTGTCAACAACTTCGTTGAGAGGGAGATGCAGATGTAAATTCGACGGAGAAGAAGCAACGAGAAGAAAAAAAATGGTGGAATCGCCGTCCCCTTCACCTACAGTCGTCGTCGTGAGGTGGAGTCACCGTCGCCTTCGCCATAGTGAGGAAGAAACGGTTGGATAGTGAATGCGATAGTGGTGGGAAGAGGTGGCGCTGTTGAGAGAGGTGAGAGAAATGGAGGCGGTGGGAGGAGAGAGGGTGGAGGGGAAGAATTTGTGAAATTGAAAGTCTAATTCCAAGTGTAGGTGTAATTTTCTCTAAATAGAATGGCCTGGGATCTGGGTCAGGTGATAGGCTCCCTTAACTACAAGGGCTTGGGCCATAATGATCTCATTTCGCCTAGAGTTGGCAAAGCCATAGAACCGTAACAAGATCAAGAAGTAGTGGAACGAAGTCTATTGGCAAGAAGAGAGCAAGTTACGAATTTCGTCTCGATTTGCAGGCTTGGCTTCTCCCGACTCGATCCACGGATGCTTCAGGCCCGTTTTAAGATGAGACATGAGCTGAGCCATGTGCCCATGAACAGCTCCGTTTGAGAGATGCACATTAACTTGCACAAATAATGTAGTATAAGGTATTTATAAGAAATCTTAATTTTTTTAATTTATCGACTAAGAAACTCTTTTTTCCCCTTTTGAACTTACTAATAAATTCTTGATTTTAAGTCCATGTTTGTGGGATTAAAATCAAGATTTTTATCAAATTAACAATTAATTTCAATCATATATTTTATGGAATCTTTAATTTTTCAACTATACATTTTATCATTTTTTATCAAAAGACACTAAAAATCTGATTTTAATCTCCAACAAATAAGAGCTAAATTGAAAGAATACATTTTCTAAAGATCAAAATATTCCAACAATTATTTAATTAAATACAAGTAAATCTAAAGGTGTGTTTGAACCATATTATTTTGGAAGAATGTATTTTGGAATAATAGATTAATGATAATGTGTGGTAAAAAAATAAGAAAATTTTTTGGACGTGATGAAAAATATTATTTTATCTAAGAATGTGTGGTTGAAAATGAATTTTGAAAAAATATTTTTTTGCAGGATGTGGATCAAACAATGGCTAAGCATGTGTTTGTTTATTATTAAAGTAGAAAAATGAGTTTTCGAATAGTGAATTTTCAGATAATCTGTGGTTAAAAGTAGGAAAATTTTGGATTTATTTACAAAATATTTTATTCTGAAAATGTACGATGAAAAATAAGTTTGAGAAAAAAAAAACCCTGAAATAATGATAGACAAATAGTGGCCCCCAATATGATTTATATCAAAATAAAACAGAGGCCCAATAGGAGCTTATTAAGGCCCCGTTCGGGAGTGATTAAAATCCAATTAAAATTGAAAATATGGCCGTTATTGGGTCCCATCCGTCTAATAAAAGTCAACAATAACGGTTATATTTTCAATTTTAATCCGATTTTAATCTCTCCCATACAAGGCCTAA